TTCCTGGCCTTCTGAAAATGTGGTTTACCCAGATTTGCTTGGCTTTTCACTTTTTGTTTTTGTTTTTTTTAATAAAAACCCCAGAAATGTTATACTGTTAACAGGGGCGGACTGACAACTCATGGGGCCCCCGGCAATAGGCGATCATGGGGCCCATGTGTCCTTGCCCAAACTCAAAAAAGCCTATGAAAAAGGTACCAGGGGCATCTCATGGGGCCCTCTACTGACCCCGGGCCCTCAGGCAGTGCCCGAGTTTCCAAATGTCAGTCCGCCCTTGACTGTTAAATAAGGGTCAGACCAAGTATCCAAATTACTATTACCATGCTTGTTCCAAGTCAGTGTTTCAAAATGCAATGAAGCCAACTAATATTCCTAAAAGCAGAGGTCCACACTGGCAACACATACTAGACATGTGTGTTTTGTTTCATTACGATTCATTTTTCAGATGAAAATTTCATTTTGGAGATGTGGATGTATACAAACCTCGAATAGACATAGTAACGAATGTCAAGGAATCCACAAAAAAAGTTATAACAAAATTAACAAATGCATTCATTTCATTCAGATGACGTCACATGATGCGATTATAATTTGGGCCAATGAGGGGAAATTAACGAAATTTTCTAATTTGTTCAGATAATTCAGATTTGAAAAACGAAGGGATCCAAATTTTGTTCCATTCGTTAATTTAGATGTGCATGACGCCAGTCAATATTGTCCAATCAGCTCATGCCATTTCTCTTGGTGGGTTGGACTAGTATCCTAAAATATCAAATCCTTGCAATTCAAATCTGTCTGATTCGATAATATATCGAAGATATAACAATCTTCTGGAAAAACTGAAATATTTTTCAAATCCACCAGGACCAACAAATATACGAAATGAATGCCAAAGAAGCAAAATTAAATCTGAAAATAAATCTGTTTAACATAACGAAATTCTTCAATGAACTAATGCATCTGAGACGAAGCGAAAATTTCCGGTGTGCACATGTCAAATACACACGTGTGTTAGGTGGACTCATAAAAAAGTGTCATAAAAAAGTGACCAGTGCCTGCACCAGGATAATAATAGGAAACAGTCAGATGGAAAAGCAGTCTCTTTTATCCAGGGCAAGCACTTAGTACAATCATTTTCTAAAAATCCTCTCCTCAGCTATGTACATGTTCTGGTCCTTCTGTTACTGTATTATTCACTGCTTCCATGTGGCAATGATGTAACTCCAAGAGGTGAACTAAGGGGTCAATATGCAGTTTTCTATCAGATATTTGGGATATTTATACACACTCCAAAGTTTCACATTGTGCTTCCTAATCTACAACCCCTCCTCCAAGCAAGCAAATAGCCTATTTGGTCTAAAACATACACTATATTTCCAAAAGTATCAGGGCACCTGCCTTTACACACACATGAACTTTAATGGCATCCCAGTCTCTGTCCGTAGGGTTCAATATTGAGTTGGCCCCGCCCTTTGCAGCTATAACAGCTTCAACTCTTCTGGGAAGGCTGTCCACAAGGTTTAGGAGTGTGTCTATGGGAATGTTTGACCATTCTTCCAGAAGCGCATTTGTGAGGATGAAAAGGCCTGGCTCACAGTTTCCGCTCTAATTCATCCCAATGGTGTTCTATCGGGTTGAGGTCAGGACTCTGTGTAAGCCAGTCATGTTCCTCCACTCCAAACTTGTTCATCCATGTCTTTACGGACCTTGCTTTGTGCACTGGTGTGCAGTCATGTTGGAACAGGAAGGGGCCATCCCCAAACTGTTCCCAAAAAGTTGGGAGCATGAAATTGTCCAAAATGTCTTGGTATGCTGATGCCTTAAGAGTTCCCTTCATTGGAACTAAGGGGACAAGTCCAACCCCTGAAAAACAGCCCCACACCCTAATCTCCCCTCCACCAAACTTTACACTTGGCACAATGCAGTCAGGCAAGTACTGTTCTGGCAACCTCTAAACCCAGATACGTCCATTGAATTGCCAGACAGAGAAGCATGATTGGTCACTCCAGAGAACATGTCTCCACTGCTCTAGAGTCCAGTGGGGTGCTTTACACCACTGCATCCGAGACGCTTTGCATTGTACTTAGTGATGTAAGGCTTGGATGCAGCTGCTCGGCCATGAAAACCCATTCCATGAAGCCCTCATGCCTGAGTTGCTGTTGTTCCCAGTTGCTTCCACTTTGTTATAATACCACTAACAGTTGACCGTGGAATATTTAGTAGCAAGGAAATTTCACGGATGGACTTATTGCACAGGTGACAACCTATCATGGTACCACGCTTGAATTCACTGAGCTTGTGAGAGCGACCCATTCTTGCACAAATGTTTGTAGAAGCAGTCTGCATGCCTAGGTGCATTACCTTTAAAAGTGCATTCTCATTAGTTCACGATCCGTCATAAGCTTAGGTGGGTTTGGAGTCTGAATCTGCCTAAGCTATCCTTCTGGGAATGCCTTCACCTCTTATGATTGTCTGTCGACTTTGACAGCTTTCTGGCAGCATAGCTCAAGTGGATTCGGACTCATAGAAATGATCCTGCGCATGAGTGTGGAGTACTGGGGACCACTCTCCTATATAGGTGTTAGAGGATATACCAATGGATAAGTCAAACCTTGCTGCTCTCTCAATTGACTGGGGCGGTCCAGACAACAACTGGAAAAAGACAAACATAGGCCTAGTGCATTATCCCAAGGTGAGTTTATAAAAAAAGATACAATTATACTCACAAACAATAGATAAAAAATTGCAGATCAAGTAGCAGCCTATGGTGTAATGAGTAATGAGAACCGAATGCCAGGAAGGTGCCTTCCAGGACCCAAAGAATGGCTTACACGTTTCAAGGGCAACCCTCTTCCTCAGAGCCTTTGGGTCGTCAAGGTACTCATTACTCATTGCACCAAAGGCTGCTATTTGATACGCAATCTTTTACCTATTGTTTTGAGTAGAATTTTATCATCTTTTTAATAAACTTACCTTGGGATAATGCACTAGGCTGGAGCGCTCTCTGTTTGTCTTTGTGGATTTGGAACATACCTGAGCTCATCCCTACTCAGAGTCACTCACCAAATTTGTTTGACCTCTTTTTACAAGACAGTTGGATGGTCAAACAGGGCTGTGTAATGATCCTAGATAAGCAGGGAGATGGTTCCTGGTTCCTTTATTTTTCATTATGGATCTATTAAGTAAAATGCAGAAAAAAAGCTTTATTAAAACATTAATAAAACAGTAAGTTTAAAACAAATCATACGTATGCTACATATGTATCAGTGTTACAGAGTACCCAGCCTTGCCCAACACATTTCATCACATCGGACATCATCAGGAGCAGTTCATTATGATGACATCCAGGGTGAAGAAACTCATCAGTGAGATCTCTGCCCACCGCACAATGAGAAAAGCACCAAGACAGAGGGTTGGCAGTCATTTGAATTGAAAAAACAAAAGTACACAGAAATTTTTAAAAGACATACAAGTGTGAACAAACTAAGACAGAGCTACCATTTAGGCAGTTCAATCTATTTTAATATTATCACTTTTCAAGGTGAAAGAAGGACTGTCTCAATGAGCTCTAGGTAGTAGTCTTTATGTTTGGTGGGAACAGATGGCTGACATGTTGTTATTGCTAATATTTACTTTGGGCCCTTTAATTCTTGGCACTACAAGCATCCTCCACTAAGGGAAACTGCCAGTTTAAAGTGTATGTATAGCCAAAATTTTTCTTTTTGTTTATGGATATAGAAGAGAATAGCTTAAAACCCCTATCGGTGTATTTGTCAACTGCCTGTATTTTATTGGGGAGATTTTCCTTCACTTCGTGGCCAGTAGACACAACAGGAATTGTGAGGGACCTCTAAGTGTAGGTTTACATCTGTGCAGCTCTGCAAGTCATGGTTTGTGCAGGCACAGCAACCCATTCATTTGAATGGGCTACTGTGCCTTCTGAAATGCAGGGAAAAGGTCCTGGCTGCATTTTAGAAATTGCAGTTCGCACGGGAACTGCAAGTGCAGCGTGGTTCCAGGTGCGCAAATGATTTTCCATGCATGCGGTATGTCATTAGCATTAATGGCTCCAGCACACAGCTCCTGTTTTTTTCTGTGCGGGTCGTTGTGGCTGTGGGAACAGGTGCATTCCCGCAGTGGTAAACCTGGCCTTAGCAGTCAGCAGAACCACTTGTTTTGGATTTTCCATCACTTTTTGTCCCAGTGAGAATGGTCACCAGAACTAACAGAGAGAAACTAACTGAGAAACTACTCAGCAGGGTCATAGCAATAAAAACCGGAGACTTCTTTATTGATCTTGATAACACTGGCATAACCTGCCTTCTGAAACTGTTCCAAGCAGAAAACCACAGATTTATCTGGTATGTTCCTACCTGAGTCTGTTTAGACACATTTGTAATTCCTGAACCCTAATGAAGGGGGTGTTTGTTTGGCCCCCCCAAAGATGTTGGCTTTTTTCTGCTATTAACCAGCTTTAGCAATAAAAACATTGGACCCTGGAACATATGTTTGGTGCACTCATTAGGATGTATGCTGTAAGCTATAAAAACCTGACAGGGGTTCTAAGCCTTCTCTAATTGAGCATTAAAAAGTGTGGCTATGCATATACTTTAAGCCTTCCAAACCATTGGTTTAGATTTCTTCTGATTTTATTGAAAATCTCCAGTTAATAAAATTTGGATGGCATGTAATCAGAGCAAGATCCTACATATGGGGGAGATCAGAGTAAGAGGAGACAAGCATAACTCATTGGTTGTGTTTTGTTTACAATGTCACAGATGAAATCTGGATTATTATAGTTACACAGTTTCATAGTTAGTCTGGCTGAAAAAAGACAAACGCCCATCTAGTCCAACCATGAAAAAAAAAGTTATAATTCTATCAACTGTTAGTATAGGATTATAGCTTTTTTTTTTTTATTGTTGAACTAGATCAGGGGTACTGAAGGAGGTTCGGTCACAAACATTTTCTTCTGGCAAGGTCCGAATAGGGTGTGTACATCAGTGTGCCCCCTTACATTAGGTATCGCCTTCAAAGTGAAACTTTACATCATGTATTCCCATCACATCAGGTGTGCCCATCAGAGTGCTCCTTTACATCAGTTGTCCCCATCAGAGTGTCCCTTTACATCAGGTATCCCCATCACAGTGCCACCTTACATCAGGTATTCCCGTCAGAGTGCCCCTTACCCTCAAAGTACCCCTTTCTATCATATTTCCCCATCAGAGTGCCCCTTTAAATCATATTCCCCATCAGAGTGCCCCTTTCCATAGTATGTGCCCATTTGTGCCCCCTTAACATAAAATGTGCCATCAGAGTTCACATTAACATAAAATGTGCTCATCAGAGTACCCCTTAGCATAAAATGTGCTCATCAGAGTACCCCTTAACATAAAATGTACTCATCAGAGTGCCCTTAACATAAAATGTGCTCATCAGAGTACCCCTTAACATAAAATGTGCTCATCAGAGTACCCCTTAACATAAAATGTGCTCATCAGAGTGCCCCTTAACATAAAATGTGCCCATCAGAGTGCCCCTTAACATAAAAAGTGCCTGTCAGAGTGCCCATTAACATAAAATATGGGCTCATGAGTGACCCTTAACATATTTTATGTGCTAAGGGCACTCTGGTTGATAAAATTTGCCTGTTAGAGGGACACTCTGATGAGCACATTATATTAAGGGGCACATTCTGATGGCGCATTTTATATTAAGGGGCACTCTCAGAGTGCCCCTTAATATTAAATGGGCACTTTGGTTGATATATTTTATGTTCAGAGGCCTCTCATGCACATTCTATGTACCCATCAGAGTGCCCCTTAATATAAAATGTGCTCATCAGACCCCCCCCTAACATTAAATGTGCCCATCAGAGTGCCCCTTAACAGAAAATGTGCCATCAGAGTACCCCTTAACAGAAAATGTGCCATCAGAGTGCCCCTTAATATAAAATGTGCTCATCAGAGTACCCCTTAACATAAATGTGCCAGAGTGCCCCTTAACAGAAAATGTGCCCATCAGAGTGCCCCTTAACATACAAAAGAGCTCATGCTGATGCACATTTTATGTTAAGGGGTACTCTGATGGGCACATCTTTTTTTTTTGTTCAACCCAGAGGGCTGAACTAAAAAAAAAAAACGGTAAGAGCTCGTGAAGAGCTTGCTGTGCCAACTATCCGATGTTAGTACAATGATCTCCACCAGGGCACATCAGTCAGCGGATGATCGGATGCTGGTTTTCCAGCATGCCTGTTCGGCTGGCTTCTGTCGGACAGGCAAGTGTACACATGAGCTGAATGTCAGTCGGTTTCTATTGAACCGGCTGATAAGGGCTGATATTGTACAGAGCTTAAGGGTGGTCCCACATGACTTGGCTTCTGATTTGGTCTTTTAAATTAACTGAATTTACTCTGTTCCTAAACAATGCATTAAAGCAGTATTACATTCAAAACCAAAACTGTCATATTTTGCAGCTTACAAATCATTAGATATGGTGGCTGCATCAGTTTTCTTTTCTTTGGCTTGTTTTCCCCTCTGTTTTCTTCTGGTGATCTGACCAGTAACACACCTCTTCCATTAGTGAGACACCACTCTGGATGAATGAGCACAGCTGGCACAGCAGACATAAGCATTGTCAGTCTGAGGGTGATGGGAATGTTAAATGTATTAGTAGATTTAAATACACTAACAAAATGAAGCCAAACTCCAGCTCACATTTTAAAATCAGTTACAAACTGTTTTTTTTTCCTTTTGGGATTTATTTTATTTATTACAGGTACTTATATAGCACTGTCAATTTATGCAGCGCTTTACACAAATATATTGTACATTTACATCAGTCCCTAACCTTCAAGGGGTGTACAATCTAAGGTGCCTAACTCACATTCATACATACACATACTAGGGCCAATTTACATATAAAGGAGCCAATTCATCTACCAGCATATCTTTGGAGTGTGGGAGGAAACCGGGGTACCTGGTGGAAACCCACACAGGCACCTGGAGGAAACCCACACAGGCACAGGGAGAACATGCAAAATCCAGGCAGGTGGTGCCGTGGTTGAGATTCAAACTGATGACCCTAGTACTGCCAGGTGGAAGTGCTAATCATTTAGCCACTGTGCTGCCCCATTTAGCCACTGTGCTGCCCCATTTAGCCACTGTGCAGTTTTTACATGACTAAATAAATGATGGACAGTTTAACCATCCTTGCCAGTGTTAAATGGACAAGACAGTCCATTTATCACTGGAAAGGATAATTAAACTGACCAGCTTTTATTTAGTCATGTAAAAACTGCATGTAAACTGATATATTCTGCTGGAGAGCTTGTTCTTCTTAAAAATAATAGATTTACTGACAAGGTGAAAATAAAAAAAAAAAAAAGTTTAAAAAAGGAAACTAATGCAGCCATCACATCTGCATGTAAACTGCAATATAATAAATGGGTTTGGGTTTACTACTGCTTTAAGGAAGACCATTCACTATGTGATTGTTGGTAAATTATTTTAATATGACACATCTAATAAAAGTATGTTGCCACCCTAAGGAAACAATGCATGAGGTCACATATGGGAGAATTAAAACTCCGCATTTCACCAAATGATGGAGATAGTTCATAAATGAAAAAACAGAATATACAGAAAAGGCCACATGCATATCCTACAAGGTCTAAATGATTGTAACTAGGTAAAGAAAGTACCCTTTCAAGTTGTTGCATTGTGCTTTTGTATTGTTCCTATTCAAATTCTGTTCCTAGCCTAGGGGAAATTTCCAGCATCTGTTATCACCTCCATATTTGTATATATACTGGCTAGATCATGAGAACAGTGAGGCCATTGCTAATATGGTAATACCTTCTTACAGAATCTCAACCCTCATTGAGGGGATCAGTATTGAGGGGATCAGTATTGTGAGGTTATCTCCCTTTTAGAATGCCTGGCAAGAAGACTATCAGTATTGAGGGGATCAGTATTGTGAGGTTATCTCCCTTTTAGAATGCCTGCCAAGAAGACTATGGGATTATAAAGGTGAAAACGGGATTATGATTAAAGGGAATTTGCAGACAGGAACCTGTCAAGGAGTGGCATGCAGTTTCTGTATAAAGTCCACAAGCAGCTACTTTTTTTCAGAAATCAGTGAAATCTCCTTCAAAATGAACTATTTAACTGTAATATACTCTTCTAGGAAATATACCAATGAATAGAAAACCAGACAATGGTTTGTAAAGTATTGCTTAGGATACTATGTAAGCTTGATTTACTAAAGGAGTTGAACATTTTCACTTTGTTTACGATAATAAGCTTGACTTACTAAAAGAGGTAAACATTTTCGCTGAAAAATAACAGGAATATTTATTTCAATTATCCAATCATGTGAAAATCAGTTTGATAATGGAACTGAATAATCACAAGATTTTTTTAATGACGATTGTCAGCTTCTTTAACCACTTGCCTACCCAGCACTTTTACCCCCTTCCTGCCCAGGCCAGTTTTCATTTAAATTTTTTTGAGACAGATAGAACTGCACCATGCTGCAGCTCAGTTTCAGGGTCTTGCCAGTCTTCTTATAGCCTAGGCCATCTTTTTATAATAATCAACCAAAACCAAATTAAAATCACCAACCAATGCTGCTGCTCCTTGTTGACCAATAATCAAACAATAAAATGTGTAAAAAAGAAAAAAAAAAAAGCGCAAAAACGTAATATAAATATAAATAAATAACCATAAATAATAATAGTGTCTAAATCAAAACACAGCACAAAAATGATCGTTGGGTATCATTAACAACTAAACAACTGATGTGAATGTACAATATATATACTGTATACACTATATTGCCAAAAGTATTGGTCGGCCTGCCTTTACACGCACATGGGCTTTAATGGCATCCCAGTCTTAGTCCATAGGGTTCAATATTGAGTTGGCCCACCCTTTGCAGCTATAACAACTTCAACTCTTCTGGGAAGGCTGTCCACAAGGTTTAGGAGTGTGTATATGGGAATGTTTGAACATTCTTCCAGAAGCGCATTTGTGAGGTCAGGCACTGATGTCGGATGAGAAGGCTTGGCTCACAGTCTCCGCTCTAATTTATCCCAAAGGTGTTCTATCAAGTTGAGGTCAGGACTCTGTGCAGGCCAATCAAGTTCCTCCACCCCAAACTCACTCATCCATGTCTTTATGGACCCTACTTTGTGAACTGGTGCGCAGTCATGTTGGAACAGGAAGGGGCCATCCCCAAACTATTCCCACAAAGTTGGGAGCATGAATATGTACAAGATGTCTTGGTATGCTGACACCTTAAGAATTCCCTTCATTGGAACTAAGGGGCCAGGCCCAACCCCTGAACAAAAACCCCACACCATAATCCCCCCTCCACCAAACTTTACACTTGGCACAATGCAGGCAGGCAAATACCGTTCTACTGGCAACCGCTAAACCCAGACACGTCTATCGGATTGCCAGATAGAAAAGCGTGATTCGGCACTCTTGAGAACATATCTCCTCTGCTCTAAAGTCCAGTGGCAGCATGCTTTACACCACTGCATCCGACGCTTTGTATTGTACTTGGTGATGTAAGGCTTGGATGCAGCTGCTCAGTCATAGAAACCCATTCCATGAAGCTCTCTACGCATTGTTGTTGTGCTAATCTGAAGACCACATGAAGTTTGGAGGTATTTAGCTATTGACACTGCGTGCTGTGCGCTTCAGCATGCGTTGGTCCTGCTTTGTCATTTTACGTGGCCTACCACTTTGTGGCTGAGTTGCTGTTGTTCCCAGTTGCTTCCACTTTGTTATAATGCCACTAACAGTTGACCGTGGAATATTTAGTAGGAAGGAAATTTCATGGATGGCCTTATTGCACAGGTGGCAACCTATCACGGTACCACGCTTGAATTCACTGAGCTCCTGAGAGTGACCCATTCTTTCACAAATGTTTGTAGAAGCAGTCTGCATGCCTAGGTGCTTGATTTTATACACCTGTGGCCATGGAGGTGATTGGAACACCTGAACCCAATAATTTGGAGGGGTGTCCCAATACTTTTGGCAATATAGTGTATGTAAAACGCTGCGTAAATTGATGGCAGTATACAAGTACCTGTAATAAATAAAATAAAGGAACAAATTAAAAACAGAAATAAATGCAGCCACTGCATCTAGGGACTGATGAGCATTTACATTTGGAGGGAGCTTACATTTGCTTTAGGCAAAGGTGTTTAAATATTGCTGTCCTTTTTCTTGTAGGATTTTAGTCATCTTGCTGAAGAGAACATGGAAAAGAAAAGCAGAGTGCAAGCTGAATTCCAGGCTAATACGGTATGTAAAGTAAAAGGAAACTGATGAACCCATTCTGCTTCACTGGATATTAGAAATACACATTTCTGGTAATAACCACATTATTATTATTACAGGTACTTACTGTATATAGCGCCATCAATTTACACAACACTTTACATATATATTGTACATTCACATCAGTTCCTAACCCTCAAGAGGTGCACAATCTAAGGTCCCTAACTTACATTCATACATACACATACTAGGGGCAATTTAGACAGAAGCCAATTAACCTACCAGCATGTCTTTGGAGTGTGGGAGGAAACCCACGCAGGCACACTAGTAATAGCCACATTATTATTATTATTACTATTATTATTATTACTACAGGTACTTATATAGCGCTATCAATTTACACAACACTTTACATATACAGTATCTCACAGAAGTGAGTACATCCCTCACATTTTTGTAAATATTTTATTCTATCTTTTCATGTGACAACACTGAAGAAATGACACTTTGCTACAATGTGACGTAGTGAGTGTACAGCTTGTATAACAGTACATTTGCTGTCCCCTCAAAATAACTCAACACACCGTCATTAATGTCTAAACCTCTGGCAACAAAAGTGAGTACACCCCTAAGTGAAAATGTCCAAATTAGGCCAATTAGCCATTTTCCCTCCCCGGTGTCATGTGACTCATTTGTGTTACAAGGTCTGAGGTGTGAATGGGGAGCAGGTGTGTTAAATTTGGTGTTATCGCTCTCAGTCTCTCATACTGGTCACTGGAAGCTTAACCCCTCATGGCAAAGAACTCTCTGAGGATCTGAAAAAAAGAATTGTTGCTCTACATAAAAGTGGCCTAGGCTATAAGAAGATTACCAAATCCACTCAGCACAGGCCTCGCCATGGTCTAACAAAGAAGTTGAGTGCACATGTTCAGCGTCATATCCAGAGGTTGTCTTTGGGAAATAGATGTATGATTGCTGCCAGCATTGCTGCAGAGGTTGAAGGGATGGGGGTCAGCCTGTCAGTGCTCAGACCATACGCCGCACACTGCATCAAATTGGTCTGCATGCGGTATGCAAATTCCAGTTTGCAATACGAATGGTCTTTATGGTCTTTATGGACCTTGCTTTGTGCACTGGTGTGCAGTCATGTTGGAACAGGAAGGAGCCATCCCCAAACTGTTCCCACAAAATTGGGAGCATGAATATGTCCTAAATGTCTTGGTATGCTGACGCCTTAAGAATTCCCTTCACTGGAACCAAGGGGCCAAGCCCAACTCCTGTAAAACAACCCTACACCATAATCCCTCCTCCAACAAACTTTACAGTTGGCACAATGCAGGCAGGCAAGTACCGTTCTTCTGACAACCGCCAAACCCAGACACGTCTATCGGATTGCCAGATAGAGAAGCGTGATTCGGCACTTCAGAGAACATGTCTCCCCTGCTCTAGAGTCCAGTGGCTGCGTGCTTTACACCACTGCATCTGATGCTTTGTATTGCACTTGGTGATGTAAGGCTTGGATGCAGCTGCTCGATCATAGAAACCCATTCCATGAAGATCTCTATGCACTGTTGTTGTGCTAATCTGAAGATCACATGAAATTTGGAGGTTTTTAGCTATTGACACTGCATACTGTGCGCTTCAGCATGCGTTGGCCCTGCTTTGTCATTTTACGTGGCCTACCACTTTGTGGCTGAGTTACAGTTGTTCCCAGTTGCTTCCATTTTGTTATAATACCACTAACAGTTGACCGTGGAATATTTAGTAGGAAGGAAATTTCATGAATGGATTTATTGTGCAGGTAGCAACCTATCACGGTACCACACTTGAATTCACTAAGGTCCTGAGAGCGACCCATTCTTTCACAAATGTTTGTAGAAGCAGTCTGCATGCCTAGGTGCTTGATTTTATATGCCTGTGGCCATGGAGGTGATTGGAACACTGGAATCTAGTGATTTGGAGGGGTGTCCCAATACTTTTGGCAATATAGTGTATGTAAAACGCTGCATAAATTGATGGCAGTATACAAGTACCTGTAATAAATAAAACAAAGGAACAAATTAAAAACAGAAATAAATGCAGCCACCGCATCTAGGGACTGATGAGCATTTACATTTAGAGGGAGCTTACATTTGCTTAAAGTAAAGGTGTTTAAATATTTCTGTCCTTTTTCTTGTAGGAATTCAGTCATTTTGGTAAAGAGAACAAAAGCAGAGTGCAAGCTGAAATTCCGGCTCTTAAGGTATGTAAAGTAATAGAAAACTGATGAACCCATTCTGCTTCACTGGATATTAGAAATAAACATTTCTGGTAATAGCCTCATTATTATTATTTTTTTACAGGTACTTATATAGCACTATCAATTTACACAACACTTTACATATACAGTATCTCACAGAAGTGAGTACACCCCTCACATTTTTTTAATCATGTGACAACACTGAAGAAATGACACTTTGCTACAATGTAAAGTAGTGAGTGTAAAGCTTGTATAACTGTGTAAATTTTCTCTCCCCTCCAAATAACTCAACACACAGCCATTAATGTCTAAACCCCTGGCAACAAAAGTGAGTACAGCCCTAAGTGAAAATGTCCAAATTGGGCTCAATTAGCCATTTTCCCTCCCTGGTGTCATGTGACTTGTTTGTGTTACAAGGTCTCAAGTGTGAATAGGGAGCAGGCGTGTTAAATTTGGTGTTATTGCTCTCACTCTCTCATACTGGTCACTGGAGGTTCAACATGGCAACTCATGGCAAAGAACTCTCTGAGGATCTGAAAAAAGGAATTGTTGTTCTACATAAAGATGGTCTAGGCTATAAGAAGATTGCTAAGACCCTGAAACTGAGCTGCAGTATGGTGGTCAAGACCATACAGTGGTTTAACAGGACAAGTTCCACTCAGAACAGGCCTGGACCATAACGGTCCGGTCAAAAGTACAATGATAATATGACCTGTAGCAGGATCAGACAGGGGACCTCATTAGTAAAACATAAAACAGAAACAATGATATGTTGGTTAAACTGTCTGAATTCCCACACCAGCTGAGTAGGGATGTAAAGAGAGAAGAAAGAAGAAACAGTAGACAATTCACCTTGGTCCAAAAGTCCAAAAAGCGGGGCAAAATTTGCCTTATAGAGATTCTTCAGGTCTGCAGGCAATTTTATACTGAGATAAGTGAAAGGAGAATCTTGCCATCGGAAGGGGAATGAACGTTCAAGTGTGCGTCTATCCGACTCCAAAATATTCAGAGATCGAATAACCGACTTCCCTAAATTAATCTTAAAATTAGATAGATGATGAAATTGATCTATTTCCTTTAAAAGACTCGGCAGGGTTGTCCTGGGAGAGCTAAGAAAAAAGAGGATGTCGTCCACAAACGCAGCCAGTTTATGTTCTGTGGATTCAACTTTAACCTCGACAATATCTGGGTTCGAGCAAATCCGACGTAAAAACGCATCCATAATCAAGTCAAATAGTAATGGCGATAAAGGGCATCCCTGCCGTGTACCGTTGGAAACCGGAAACGGTTGGGACAAGGTCTCATTAACCTTCACTTGGGCCGTCGGTCTAGTATATAGGGCTCCTATCCATGATTGCATATTACTCCCAAGTCACAGCGTGTAAGATACGACTTAAATACCCTATCAATACGATCGAAGGCTTTCTCAGGATCGGAGGAGAGGACAAGACAAGGGAGTTTTGATGTAGATATCCAGTGCAGAAGAGAGATAGCCCTCTGGGAGTTATCCCTACCTTCCCGGCCAGGGATAAACCCCACTTGATCAGCATGGACCAAATCACCCAGGAACTCTTTTAGTCGGTTGGCTATGATTTTCGCTAAAATGTTAATATCCAAATTCAGTAAAGAAATGGGTTGATAGTTTTGGCAATGTGCGGGGTCCTTTCCCTCTTTAAGTATCACAGTGATGTGAGCGTGTGAAGAGTCTGGCAGTATGTCCTGTCTTTGCAAGCGAATTAAAATAGGTCACCATATGGGGGACTAAGAGATCCGAGTACTGAAGGAAGTATCGGCGTGAAAACCCATCTGGGCCTGGACTCCTCCTGGATGGCATGTCTTTAATTGTGGATATAATTTCCCCTTGAGAGATATCTCTCTCCAGGAAAGAGATAGCCTCCGGTGGGAGTCGCGGATAATCAATATCATCTAAATAGGCATCTATCGACACTTTGGGGTTTATTTACTAAAGCTGCAGAGTCCAAAATCAGACTCCCTTCTGCATAGAAACCAATCAGCTTCCAGGTTTCATTGCCAAAGCTTCATTGAACAAGCTGAGGTTAGAAGCGATTGGTTTCTATGCAGAAGGGAGTCTGATTTTGGACTCTCCAGCTTTAGTAAATAAACCCCTTTGTGTCTGGATTTAGTAGATTCCCCTTCCGAAACTCTAAGATTATATAGAGAATGATAGAAATCTCAAAAGCACTTGGCAATTCGGGATGGTAGATGTAGCTTCTTACCCGAGGCATTACAAACATGAGGGACAAAGGAACCTGAACTTCGTTTCCTAAGCGCCCTAGCCAACAGTCTCCCACATTTCATTGTCCTTGGTCATAATATTTTTGTGAGACAGATATCTGAGTCTATGCTTGGATTGGGCATCCAGGACGCGACTCTCAGTTGCGATCTCAATTCTGGGTATTTTGCTTTGGAACCATCTGTCGAACAAGTATAGTGGGAGCTTGGGAATTGAACCCGTTACAAAATGGGTTTCCTGTAATATCAAGTCTTGTGCTTTGAGGGCCTTCACCTCTCTCCATACTCTGCTCCGCTCAAAAGGAGAGCTCAAACCTCTGACATTGTATGATAGTACTTTTAAAATAGACATGATGATGAAAACTGGCTGAACCTATAAAGGCAGGTAATCAATTGACGAGGGAAGAAAGAACAGAAAACAGAAGGCAAAGAATATCTATAAACAGCTACTACAGTATAGTACCATATACAACCTAACCGTAGACAACAGGCCTCCAGGCGGATAGCAACAGAAGCGTATGGTCTACAACCCATAAGGGTGGGCACCCCGTGTAAAACAGAATGGGGTGAGCCTATAGTTGGGTAATTTGTAAACCATACCAGCCGGAGCCGCCCACCGCCCTCGGCAATATAAAGGTTATAGAAGCTTAAAACAAATAACACAGCCAACAATCTTTCATTCTTTCTAGCCCAAGGGGGAAAAATGAAGGGTTTCGGGTGTACAGTAAAGGGACCCAGACCTTATGCCCAGAAGGGCTCGATAAAGGATTTCAACCTCAGAAGGGGATATTGGAATCGATCTAGCACAAACCATACTAGCAAAAAACAAAAAGCTAAAGTTCAAGTGTTCCCTTTGGAGTTGGGTGAGCCTGGAGGGTTACGGATCCGCTTTCTCTTCCTACGTGGCTCCTGCCATTCCTTTTGGGGCTGGTTACACAAAGAGACTCCTCTGCCCCTCCAATCCAGGAAATCGACTGCAGACAGGTGGAGAGTTTGGAGAAATTGCGGCAAGTCATCTTTGTCCCGAAGAGTGGCCGATATCCCATCTTTAGTAGCTGTAAGCCGGAATGGGAAACCCCAGCGGTATGTTGCGCCTGCGTTGCGGAGAGAGTCCAAAAGATGACATAAGGTTTTCCTCAGCTCTAGAGTGCAACGGGATAAATCAGGGGAAAAATACAGCTGCGAACCCTCAAATTCCAGGCAAGTGCACTTACGCATACCCCGCATGATAGATTCTTTATCCTGGTAGCGCAGCAGTTTACAAATCACATCTCTAGGCTTAGTAGTGTCCAGGTTTACAGGACCCAGGGCTCTGTGCCCACGTTCTATTTCAATTGGTAAATCAGGGGCTTTTCCCAAAATTTTTATAAAGACAGATAGCAAAGTTGTAATCAGGGTAGCAGTTTTAACAGATTCAAGCAACCCGCGGATCCGGAGGTTTTTCCTGTGGCTCCAATTTTCAAAGTCATCAAGCTGGGAAAGCAAACCCTCAATCTTACAATCTTGTTGATCCAATCCCTTCTGCAGGGAGAGGATTGCGTTCAGGCACTCACTTTGTTGTGTTTCAAGGACTTAAACTCTTGAACCTATCTACATAGTATCAGGTTTGAGTTTTTGGAGGCCCGCTTTGTAAGTATCTTCAATCTGTTTGAAGAAAACTGCGAGATCAGTCTTAGTGGGGAATTCACTAAGATATTATTTCAGGTCTCAATCGGGATCCGGGAGATGCAGGGATTGTTGTCCTGGGCTTTGCCAGGCAGGGGAGGATGGTTAGGGAGATAGAGACTCGTCCTGCAGCGTGTTCCCCATGTCCAGATCCTCTCCAGGGATCGCCGGTGGATTTGCAGACGGGGGTGAAGGGGAAGGCTCCTCAAAAATGGCACCGGCTGGATCTCCTGCCCGCTGCCCTGTGAGGAAGGGGACAATGCTGCCCTTCAGAGCTTTCGTGGATGGGTCTGAGGAGTGGGTCTGGGTCCCCCTTCTTCCACAGCATCACCACTGGTAGAATCAGGCTGCTTAGTTGGCTGTGTGTGAAGCTTACTAGCAGTGGGCAGCAGGAGATCCGGAATCAGCCGCCGTCCTGCTCCATGGCTTAGCCATGCCCCTGGAAGCCTCTTCTAAAGATGATGCACAAAAAAGCCCGCAAACAGTTTGCTGAAGACAAGCAGACTAAGGACATGGATTACTGGAACCATGTCCTGTGGTCTGATGGGATCAAGATAAACTTATTAGGTTCAGATGGTGTCCAGTGTGTGTGGCTGCAACCAGGTGAGGAGTACAAAGACAAGTGTGTCTTGCCTACAGTCAAGCATGGTGGTGGGAGTGTCATGGTCTGCGGCTGCCTGTGTGCTGCCGGCACTGGGGAGCTACAGTTCATTGAGGGGAACCATGAATGCCAACATGTACTGTGACATACTGAAGCAGAGCATGTTC